TCACAACAACAATGCGATCGATATGCCTCACGTATAACGACCTCAGTGAATCTAAGGCGACTCATTCCTCACTGCTTATTAGCAACGACATCATCTACGACCGCTGAGCTAGCTCTATTCCAAATGCATGGGGTTTGTTTACAGAGATGTTATGAACAGCAGCAATTGACTTAATCACTCTTACCAATTACCTTCCACCAACAACCATAGTGACGGCCATTTAAAGAGTTCCACTGCTAAATGCGGGAGTGCATTCCAAGGCAAGACGCTTCAAGAGGACAGAATGCATAAATCATAGGCTGCTTCGGCGGCTAACCTAACAGGCTGCAATATTCCCGTGTAGGTTATGAACGTACCAGTCGGATCGGTGGCTAAGGCTGGCTCTCCCCCTTCTGTGATGCGGCGGGCGCTGCTTTTCAGTTTTTGGCTGATACAATTCCTTTGATTAGTGTGATTGAACAACGATCTGTAACTTAGCACGCAGCAATTCCGCCTAACCCGGCTTCGCCGGGCCATGTCACCGAAGAAGGAGCGCTCGGCGACAGCTGGGCGATCCGACTGGTGACCCTATAATTGAGCACTCGAAGACGATAACGAGCGATAACGAAGGTTCATTTTCGTGACATATTCCTGAAAAGAATTTCCTTGTTTGTACAAAAAGTATGTGGACACCTGAGAAAGTCCAAAGTTCAGCTCCAAATCTGCAGTCCATTTTTATCGTCTCTACTTCCCATTTAGCTGTACTCATGCTTCGTGGTGATGGTACTCTCTCCGAAGACGAAGGAACTCAGATTCGAGTTCAGTGCTGCTGGACACTCGAATAGAGAAATTGCAAAACAGCTCGGACGTTCGGCGACGTGCTTTAGTAAGTACCTCCACAATCCTGATAGCTACCATTTAGCACCTGTTTCGGGGCACCCACGATCTTCGTCTGCAAAAGACATCAGAAGAATGGCGCGTATCCCCCTCAAACTCCCCCCTATCGGTAGCACAGATCCACTGCGATGAATCTACCGGTCTCAAAAATGACGATATGGCGCTCTATTCGATCAAGTAAGCACATCACTCGAGAGATCATGAAGAAAGCTCCTCATCTGACTGCCCAACACCAGCTGGCGAGACTGAACTTTGTGCGTGCAAACATAGCGACGTCGTGGGACAAAGTGCAGTTTTTTTTAAATTTGGTAAATCAGAAAGAGAACATCTTATGCGCATTTCTTTCTTTGCTTGTCTTCAACGAAGATGAAATTCCGGAGACGGCTTTTTGATAGTGTGGCGTGGTTTCGAAAGCAGCGAAAAGTTGGAGCTTGCTTTTCCGTCGTGCCGTATGAACAGTCAGGTATATCAAGAAGTGCTCGAATCCAACCTCTTGCCTTTTCTGAATGGGCCACGACCCAGGACACATGTGCTGCAGCAGGACAACGCTGCCGCGCATGTTTCAAATTCTACTATAAAATGGCTCCAGCGCAATGGTATCAAAGTGATGGATTGGCAGACATGTTCTGCTAACTGCAATCCAATCGGAAACCTGTGGGGATCATGATTCGACGAATCTACATGAACAATCGGCAGTACAACAACGTGCGAGACCTGAGAGAGGTGGCAGTTGCTGCATGGGAGGAAATTGACGAAGATATCAGCAAAATCTTGTCCACAGCATGCCAGAAAGGATGTTTGTAGTAATAGTAAATGCTGGAGGAAATACCAACTTCTCACTCCCACGGAACTAGGGTTTTTTGTTACAGACTTGTTTCCACATACTATTGTTATTAAAACTTTTTCAAAACAATAAACAAATGTACAGTAGTTCACAAAGTGCGCAGAGGTAGTGTACTGCTATGTTTTCGCTTATGAGGAATTCAACTATCAAGGGCTCACACCGCGAAATTCAAAGACATTTCGCAGAACGAAAATTTGAAGTGCCCACATACTTTTGTTAAGCACTGTAGCCCACGACGCAAGGGTAGCACACTTACAAAGGTTGCGATGGACCGTGCGCGAGCACAGTCTCACGTGGGAATTCTAACGGCCTCGGAAGTATCCATCATGCCATCATGTATAAGAGGACAAAGGATAAAGTCTTCGCCGTTGATCGATCCCTTTGTGGAATGCGGCACAATTCTACTCCCATTCAGAATCCTAGCAGCTTGTTGGATGCGTGAATGTTGTACTCTATACAGGGAGGGGGGCAAAAAAAAGTCACTTCTGTTCATTGACTTTCGAGGCGCTGTAAGTTACACTTTATTAAATTCTGATCGGACATTTTTAACACCATATTAAAGAGCATATCAGATACTATTATGACACTCCGCCACAGCCTTCTGGACGAGCGTCATCGAGAGTCTGGCATGCGACCGCGACGTGGTGCCTGCGATCAGCGAGACAGTGGATTTCTCCGCCACCGTAGACCACCCTTTAAACTCCGCCCGAACCGGGTAATTGAGGGGATTCAGGACAGGTGACCTACTTGGATATTCCACCTTCTTTAGGTACTCAGCTTCCATTCTAAGTAGGCAAGTGTTTCTCCAACGCCCTTCGATTTGATGTGGTGGCACTCAATGCTGTAGCTGTACGAAGTTTCCAAGAAGGTACGGGCGACCACATGTGAGGGGGATTTTCTTCACGAGTTGCCCAATGTAACCGCCAGCGCTCACCTTCAGTCCGGGGTCCACGATGAAAATATTGGTCTTTCCATTCCAGGTACGTCCGGTCCATACCATCAACCCACGCCCTGGCGACGAAGATGATCTCCTAGACCGTAGCGACGTTGTCTGAGCTGCTCGATGTTGGAGGTCATCCACATCGAGAGTAATGGTCTCCAGGTAGCTATCCATGGGTGACTCCATACTAGAAGTTTGAAGATCTTCAGAGGTGACATGAATTCCAAAGGTATTCTCCAGTCAGGCTGCGACTAGAGATGACTCATATTTTGGTGTACATGAAGGTGATGGGCGAGAGCCAGCTCCTGCTTATAGAGGAACATCTTGGGTATCTTCCGCCCTGGTAATCGTATCCACGTCTTCTGTCTGGGCAGCGAAAACTTTGCTGATATGTGACTCGGTCGAAGTGACTTTTTTGCCCCCCCCCCTGTATCTCTTGCGGGAGCCAACCGATGTACAAGTCAATGTTTTATCCTCCCAGGTAAAGCTGGTACCAATTTACCGTCCGCGGAAAAGACTTGGTTGGCCTGGGCAGCAGTCGTCCCAAGCCCAGGACCGCACGGGTGATAAGCGCGCCACTTGACACTACACCACCTCCGCCACCATCATATAACATGGTACAGTTAGGAGAGTGCTGTTCACGGTGCGCTCCATCTATAAATGGGTCGATAATAAGTACAAAAAGGTCTTCAGGAGTTCTAAACCAGCGAATGGATGCGCTACACCTCGGAGACAATTGGACTCATTTGGATGTGACATCCTGGCCCGTAGGCTGCGGTCTCAATGGGGAATCTATTTTGGTCTCCCTTCGGAAAGGCTGGAACCCGCGGTCCACGATCTGGCATCCACGTGAGCGCTTTCGATCGATCGCAGCTTGTCCTAAAGGTAAATGAAGATTCTGGTCAACTGACTGATGAGAATCTCATTCCTCGACAAGGTTGGAGACAGTTTATAGCTGATCACCAATGTTTGGAGGCCATCCTTTATAGCCGCTCGCACCGTAGTAGCTTCTCTTTAGAGGGAGTTTGCCCTCGTTTTCATGACGCGACCAACCATTTCGTTTTGATAAGCTTTTAAACGAAGCATTCGAAGCCATGAAGGAACGCTTAGTGAGTTACGTGTATCAGTGCTTCTCATAACCTAAACGTTCACAGAGTCAAATAGCGTAGCTGAACAACAGCGCAGCAGCACTGGAGTGGCCCTGGTCCAATGCCGACACCCCTCCCCCTCCCCCCAACTATCTTTGCTGCATCCTGGTTGTCCCTTTGCTTCCGGACTTTCCCTCTGTTAAGCGGCACTTTCATTGGACGAACCCACACGAAAATAGCCAGTCCTCCAACGGAATTGGAGGTGCAGTCAACAGGTTTTGGGGCTGATTCGCTTCACAGCTCGTTGAAGGTAGACGCTTTGCGGCCCACGGCTATGGCTCGGAAACAGCGACGTTCTGCGGGATCACCCATGTCGTCGCGAGCTTCTGGGGACCTCCCATCGCAAAGACTGCCTCTGCACCGAGATGGGCACAGCATTAGTTGGGGACTTTGGTCAAGCCCGTACGACCCCCTCCCTTTTTTGAGGGGGCTCGGTACGACCCCTCCCACCCTTTCTTTACTGTTTTTTTTGAGCTCGAGCTAGGCATACCTATATGACGGCTCTGATTGTAAGTTGTAAATTCATAAAGTGATACCACTCAAAGTTTGAAGGAATACCTGCCAACCTGTGTGAAGCAATGAATGCAAGGATGTGAAATAGCGAACGTGCTGATCCCCCCCCCCACCTACAAAGTCTAAGATCGCATTCGTGCTCGACAACTTGGAAGAAAAGAAGAAACTGCGGACAGTACAACCTGTCGCGGCATTAATCCGCGACCTGGAAGATTCATCTAGGATGGTGATACCATCTTTCACGTCTGTTGTAGTGATACAGTTTTTCTTGTCTGATATACGTTGCATTGTTGCTTGAAGTGGAGAACTGTCTGGTTCATTTATTGAAATTGAAGTGAAGATAAGGTGTTGTGGCTCTGTGTTCGTATCACGACAGATAAGTCCCGCGTGGCAGCACACAAGTTATTACATGGTGCATCGAAGCCCAGTATACATCGAATCAAGGTCAGTTGAAGATTCTCGCAACTAGAATCTTTCACTACAAGTCAAGTTAAAGTGCAAACATTGAAATCCAGTGAGATTACTTTCGCAACAAATCTAGGCCTACAGGTGCTCAGTCAGAGTCACATAGCCTAGAATCCTTTACTTGTCACTACAAGTAAAGTGCAAACCATTGAAATCCAGTGAGGATACTAGGCCTACAAGTGTTCAGTGAGAGTCATACATATTGTAAGTCAAAATGGTTAGCGAACTAGCAACAGCTAAGGGCCTCATAACGCGCTTCTGCAATAAACTAGAGCAATTTTTGGCCCGCTTCAAGGACCAACAGCTCGATTCAGTGCAGGTTATCATTGAAGACCACTCCAGAAACGTCAAGCTAGGCAACCTATGTCACCTAGAAGGAGCGGTAGGAACAATCGAATCTATAAAGTGCCAAGTGGACAGGGCNCTGCGAGACTTGTCTCTGTTGGCGGTAAAGGGGGACCCAAGTGAAGTGGAGCAATATGTAGTCCGGGCAGAAGACGCCTTGGTTTCCGCTGTTGACTACGTTGCGCTCTTACGAGCTAATATAAGCGCGTTGAAATCCTTTGAAACATAAAGACCACTGCAGGCACCTCGAACAACTGGCCCATCAACGCACATAATCAAGAACACCAACAATCCGCACTCCCACCGTCCCCTGTACCTAAATTCACGGTGACATCTGGGACTTTGATAACTTTGGGAGCTCTTCAATGTTAACGTACACTCGAGGGGATCACCTGAGCTTTTCAAGTTCAACTATTTACTGTAAGCCCTCGAAGGGGAGGCTAAGGAGTCCGTGAAGAAGTTCCAAGTTACCCCTGAAAAACTACTCCCATGCAATCAAGTTCCTTCACGCACGGTACGGCAATCCAGAGGAATTGATCCAGAAACTCATCGACAAACTCGACCATTACAAGATACGAAGTGAAACCCTCAAGGACCAACTCACACTCTTCGAACAGGTGCAAGTAACAGTCCTACAGCTAAAGCAAAAGGGGGAACACGTAGACAGTCAAGTCATGGTTAAGAAAGTGTTGAGCAAATTTCCTGCACATATCCAGAGGAGAGTGCTAGCGAAGAGACGTACACTTCCATCGACTACTTCATCCACAATGGAAACGCTTTTCAACATAATCGAGGACGTCTTGTCCGAGGAAGAAATGATGAACCTCTACGTCAAGGAACCAATGTCCACGTCACAGACAACATCCGCCAAAGAGTTCCGAAAACAGGAGAGTCTCTGCATGTACTATAAAGGCGTACACAAGTCATCTCATTGCGATACATATAAGACCTCGAGAGAAAGAACAAAGTACTTACGAGACCGTCGTCTTTGTCAACTCTGCGCATCACAGCACAAGACATATGAATGCAAACGTAAGAATTGTTTCCGATGCGGAGGACCTCACCATTCATCATGTTGCTTCAAGACCACGTCAACATCAAACAACACCCAAGAAGTAAAGGAACAAGTGGTGCAGGCGGTACGAACAGACAACAAGGTGAAGAAGCAAGTCAAGAAAACTCAGAAAGTCAACGTAGCAGCCGAAAAAGAGCAAGTGGAGGAAGGCGAATAACCCATTCTCGAAGTTCAAGCAGCGCAGGAAATCCAGCACTATTCGACGACAGTCCTTCTTATAGGAGAAGTCATGGTCATGGATAACAAGAAAGGCGATCACCGCAGGGTCCCGGTACTTCTAGACACAGGAGCAGAAATTTCGTTCATCGACAGAACACTTGCGGACGAGCTTGAGCTCGAAACAATCTCGGAAAAAACGCTCTTGCTGCCCACGTTCGGTTCTGAAGAAATTCAAAAGAAGAAGTGCCGCACTGTACGCGTACAATTTCAGGATGTCGAAGGAAGACTTTATGAACTGGAATTAACAACACATGAGATTCTGATCAAACCGCTTCGCACTCCCCCAGTGCTTCAAGAAGATATAGAGTTCCTAAAGTCATTGAACATTTCAATTCAGCATAAATGGAAGGAAAAGGCAGTGAAGCCACTGATACTTCTTGGCTGTGACCAAATGTGGAAATTCTGGAAGCGAAGCTCAGAAATGGTACAAATATTGGTCACTAGACGTGCAGATCAATACGTCAGGGAAGATACCGATTGCTCTACAGAAGAAGATAAGTGGAATCGCTACTGGACACTCGAAAATGAAGGAACTCAAGAATTTAACGGAACAGAAGAAGCAGAAAAAGCCAGCATCGATAAAAAGTCTGGGACAAATTCAACGAGACCATACAACGCCGAGACGACGGCTACTATGTCCGTCTTCCATGGAAAGAAAACTGGGCGACCCTACCAGATAACAAAGCCATCGCTCTACGACGACTAGTCAATAGCTGGAACTCTTTGCAACGTGATCCCGAGCTGTTACAAATGTATAATAACGTCTTCGAAGAACAACTACGTCTGAATATAGTGGAAGAAGTCCCCAAAACGCCACAGCAAGCGGTTCAGTGATCCACTATATACCGCATCAGGCAGTTTTGACGCCAAACAAGTTAACAACAAAGTTGAGGATTGTTTTTGACGCTTCGGCCCACTACAAGGGTTGTCCTTCCCTCAACCAAGTTCTTCATCGTGGTCCAGTTATTCTTCCATCTCTCTTCGGGATACTCCTACGCTTCCGAATAGGAAAAATAGGCTTCACATCTGACGTCGAGAAAGCGTTTTCACAAGTGCGCCTTCAAGAGATCGACAGAGATGCAACAAGATGTCTTTGGTTGTACGACCACAACAGACCACCAACATTGGAGAACATAAAAACTCTTCGTTTCATAAGAGTCACCTTCGGACTAAATAGTTCACTTTTCCTACTAGCAGCCACAACACACTTTCATTTGAATTCCTGTACGAATGACACGAAATTGTCGAATAGATCAAGAATAATCTATATGTGGACAACCTGCTTCTAACAGCAGACACTTTGGAAGAAGCAAGTCGAAAGTATGAACAAGTCAAACAGATGTTCCGAGACCTTTCAATGAATCTGCGTGAGTTCGTCTCCAATGATCCCACTCTGCTGGAAGTCATGGCCACTGCAGACAAGTCTAAAAATAGACACCTGAAAGTACTTGGGATCAAATGGGATTCCTCCACGGACAAGTTCCAGACAGCATGCTCAGTTGAACTGAGTACTCCGCTGACAAAAAGGACCGTCTCAAGTTCAGTAGCATCTATCTACGACCCCTTAGGACGGATGACAACCCTTACTCATAAGACCAAGGTCTTTATCCAGTCACTATGGAAGGGTGATTACAAGTGGGACGATCCACTATCAGAAAGAAAGTTAAGGAATGGATAGGCGTAGTGGAGTCTATGAGAGATTTCTACAAAGAGCTCCCTCGATTCATTTCAAAGAGATCAGAAGAACAAGTTTCAGTGGCATTTGCAGACGCAAGTACAGAGGGCATGGCCACTTGTATATACATGTGCTCGAATTCTACCGCGAATCTCGTAATGGCACGAGAGAAACTCCCTTCCATACATTCTTCCCTAACCATCCCGAAAATGGAGCTAAACGCTATAACGTTAGCAATGCGCGTAATCATCGCTCTCATCACTCAAGTTCATATGATGGTTAGAATCAAAATGATCTATATTTTTACCGACTCGGAAATCATACTGAATTGGATCAAAGATCCTGACAAGAAAGAAAAGGGACTACTAATCAACAATCGACTAAGGGAAATCAAACAAATCGTCGGGCACTTGAAGTCAGCAGGACACCAAGTCTACTTCCTTCATGTTCCATCAAGTCAAAATCCCGCTGACTGCGCGACGAGAGGCTTACACAAGAACGACCTTCAGCATCACATGTGGTGGAACGGTCCAACCTTCTTGCACAACCCATATCGGAATTATTCGGCTGAAAAACTACTCCTCTCCGAGCTTTGTCGAACGAGAAGACGAAGAAGTCAACGAAGAAGCTCTGGAAGTAAGCACAGCAGCTACGACACAAGCAACTCCAGCGGCAAACGGGGATCTAGTCTCAAGTAAGCAAGATGTGACGCTCACGAAAGCGAAAAGAATCCTAGCATATGTTATACGATTCATTCGGCTAACCGCATCAAAGGTGCAAGTAAACAAACAGAGCAAGCAAGCAAGCAAGCAGAACAAGTCAATATCTCAACCCCCTCAGGGACATTCCGCGTTCCGGCGAGGAACTGTCAGGGAGAGAGATCAAGTACGCTGGACAAGTTCTACTCCGCCATCATCGGCAGACTTGGATCACACCAGCGATCTTGCAAAAGCTCCGTAATCTGAACGTGCACACAGACGGCGAGGGAATTATGCGCTGCATCGGTCGCCGTTAGGGAAAAGCGAAATGAAAGACGAAGCATAATATCCTATCTTGATTCTACAGAAGACACTCTTGCCGACTTCATAATTCAAGAGAGCCATCTCAACGGTCACTCTGGAATCAATCACACTATGTCTATCGTTAGACAAAAGTTTTGGATCCCACAGCTGCGATCACAAGTGATGAAGTTAGTAAATGCATAGCTTGCCAGAAATTCAACAATTCAATGCAAGTACCCTGAGCAGCCAAATCTGCCCAAAGAACAAGTCGTTAAGTCACGCCCGTTCGAACACGTCGGTCTAGACTACTTCGGACCCCTGTCGATTGTTACTTCAACCAAGAAAAAGAGAAATGTTACGGGGTCATCGTTACCTGCATGGTTACCAGGCTTATTCATCTACGATTTACGATTTATTATCGGCAGACTATTTGAAGAAACTCAGATATAAACAGAAAAACACAAACATAACTCCGATAAGTAAAACACAGTAAGGTCATAAACTAAAAAGTCCTGCGAAGTTGAGAGGGAAAACAGCGCAGAAGGGCAGTGGGCGCCAACACTGCAAGTCCATGGCAGCAATTTCAGTACTCCGGATACCAACTTAGTAGGTCCGCCAACCTTGCTGATACCACTCCAACGGTCGCAGACTTCATATAGGGTGGAGGGAGATAGTAGAACACAACACATACACAAAAAGCAGGAACATTAGACAGCAATCAAACGGTAAAAAAAATACCCAAAAGAACCACATCATTACATAGCACTCTTATGAAAAGGTAGAAATTGAACCAGCAACAACAAACCACATCCTGGCCTCGCCAAACGAGAACATTGTTCAGTTTCTGTTCTCAGAACCAACCACGAGAAATCATAATTTTTTCTAAGTTTATTTCTGAACGAAACGGAAGTGCTCGAGTTAACAACCTCTGACGGCAAGTCATTCCAGAGGCTTACAATCCTCTGAGTGAAGGAATTCCGAAACTCAGCTGATCTGGTTTTCTCCCTTAGAATCCTAAAACGGTGGCCCCTGGTGCGACCAATAGTCGGAGATCTTTTGAAGAGGACATCAAAATCTAAGTCCACTTATCCCGCCGAAAGCTTGTCAACAAACTCATAATCACAAAGCCTCCTCCTCATTTCCAGGGAGTCTTCCTTTAGATACTCAAGCCTATCTTTGTACGAAATATGGAAAATGCCCTGACGGGCGAAGATCCGTTCTGTAAATTTGGACTGAACACTTTCAATACGATCAACCATAGCACGGGTGTGAGGGCTCCACAACATGGGACAATATTCCAAAGTTGGGCGCACATATGTAACAAAGAACTGGAACAGAATTTTGATGCTTCTCGAAGAGAAGGCGCGCAATATGAAGTTCGCCCTACAATGTGCCAAGTGCACCATCTTGGTAATGTAGTCATTGAACGATAACGAGCTTGTGTACACAATGCCCAATTCTCTAATGGCATCTGGCTCATTGAGCTCAACACCATCAACTGAAAACCTGGGAGCGGGTGTACAGTGTGGACCCATTCGTAGGACAACCGTTTTATCGGAGGAAATAGGAAGTTCCCATTTTCTAGCCCAAACGGATATGGCATCAAGAGCATGTTGTAGCAGTGTAGCTTCCCCAAAGCAATAAACCTTGACATCATCCGCATACATAGAACATTGTATGCCAGAAGGAAGACACGTGGTAAATCATTAATGTAAATAATAAACAACAACGGCCCTGAACAAGAACCTTGAGGAACACCACTTTCAGTTCGGTATATTCTCGAACCCGCAGCATAATCAGAAGACAGATCCTGGAGAAAGCTTCGAAGAAAGCAGAAGCAGATGTTCTCGAGGAGAAGGACAAGTCGAAGAGCCTCTACATAGCTATAACTTAAGGTCACGGCCACAGAATCGCCAAAGCCACTCCACCATGGCAAGTATTAGCGGTCCCGCGATTTCAGCTTCACTTTTCACAATCACGCTATGTTCGTTGGCCCTTCTTTCTACATAGACTTTAGCAAGTACGCCCACCATAAGAAACCCCATACTCGCAAGTAACCATAAAACGAGTGCTACCTCACTGGATTTCAAGTTCAACAATACACTCAAGCGCTCCCGTAGCGCCGTCAAGCTAAAAAACTCATGTACTCTCCATTTCAGGATGGCCGAGCGTGATGTGGATCCAGATGCGACATACTTGAGCAGACTGATGATAAGATCGCATCCGAGTGCGGACCGAATGGAGGACGAACTAGAGGCATGC